GGAAAATTATTAAAGTAAAAATCATTCAGTGTATCTCACCCTCTTGTTGTGTGATAAATAGAGAGGGAGCAATCAAAGAGCTCACAAACCAGATTTCAATGGCAGAAACTAATTTCACTGTTGAGGAACCTATCGCTCCATCTGTCAACATAAAATTTACAAAGCTCTTTATCAATGGAGAGTTTGTTGATGCAGCATCAGGTGACCCCTCAATGAAATATTATTTCCTTAATATTGTATATGTTTTCATGTATTTTATATGTACTTAATCGATATATAATTTAAATATTGGCATGTTTTAATTTTCATATTAGGAAAAACTTTTTCTACACTGGATCCCCGTACGGAAAAAGTGATTGCCGATGTTGCCGAAGGTGATACAGCAGATATTAACAAAGCAGTCGCTGCTGCTCGCAGGGCATTCGACCAAGGACCATGGCCGAAGATGACGGCTTATGTATTTAATCAATATAATCAATTTCATTCACCTTAGGATTATTGAATTATAGTAAATTTTTAATTAATTTTTAAAGAATTTTTTTTTTTCTTCTCCTAGTGATATTATTTCTGTTTGAATTTTCAGAAAAGATCGCGGATATTAAACCGTTGTGCTGATATGCTAGAAAAATACAATGACGAAATCTCAGCCATTGAAGCATGGGATGGTGGAAAGATTTATGATCAAGTTGCTGGCTATGAAATACCTATGGTTGTTCGCATCATAAGATACTATGTCGGTATGAATTTTAAAATAAAAAAAAATTATTTCGGATATCAATTTATTATAATTATTTTAATAAAAAAATTTATTACAAAATATTATTATTATCAAATTAAAAAATATTAATATTTTTATCATAATTTACATATTTGATATATAACATACTTTATATTTTTCAGGTTGGGCGGATAAAATCCATGGCTTAACTATTCCGGCTGACGGACCACACCAAGTCCAGACTCTTCATGAACCGATTGGTGTTGTTGGTCAGATAATTCCTTGGAATTTTCCTCTTATTATCTTAGCTTGGAAGCTGGGGCCTGCACTAGCTTGTGGAAACACCATTGTTGTCAAACCAGCCGAGCAAACTCCATTATCAACTCTTTATCTC